TTTTTTTTTTAATTAATAGTATGGTGAGCCAACAGAAAGTCTATCTCTAGATTCGACACTCTGAATTTGGACCTCTTGCTTTCTGAACTGTGAGAGAATTAATGTTTGTTACAGCCAAAAAAAATAAGAAAGGAAAAAAAACTAATGATAAGGCTTGGTGAATTTCCATTTACAGAGAAGTTGACCTCACATTTTAAAAATGGTCTGTAGTATTTCATAGTATGCATATCTCACTCTATCTAATAGTGTACTTTTAATGCATAGTTAGGTTGTTTCCAGGTTTTCACTCTGCTCATCTGCACTGTAAGAGCGTGGTTGGAATGTGTACCTTGCACGTGTGCAGCAGTTCTGTATAATTCCTAGGAGAGAATGCCTGCAGGGGAAGCAGTTGGCTTCCATGGAGCTTTCATTGTTGACCCACCAACTGACAGAAAACCCAAATTTGCTGCCATCGAGTCAGTGCTGACTCAAAGTGACCCCTTGTGGGTTTCCAAGACAGTAATGTTTACAGGTGTAGAAAGCCCAGTCTTTCTCTCACAGAGCTGCTGCAGGTTTCAAACTGCCAACCATGTGGATCGCAGCCCAGCGCATAACCACTACACCCCCAGACTACCCAACGTAGATGACATCATTTGCTTTTTTACATCTTTACTTAGTCTTGATATCACCAATATCAGTTAATATATCAGGAAGTTACCAATTTGATTTTTGGCCCAGTTTGCTACTTTTTTGAGGGGTGGAGTAGGTAGACTTTTAAAATATTTTATCTTAAAAAAAAAAAAGTTTTTATTTTTTATCTTTTAAAAATGGTAGTGATAAACAACATTATTTCCCTCCAGCCTACTGAAATTGACTTTGTCAGATGATGCTCAGAGTAGTTCAGTTCTAAAGTCTTTTCTGAATTCATTATCTTCACAAAATATAGTGAGGCATATCTTAGTTACTTTATGCTGAGTGGCTTTCTCTCCCCTTGGAACATTTGCCTCTCTTGGTGGTTGTTCATATAATAAATGCACTATATCTGCAGATCTGGTCAGTATTTTAAAAATAAATATATTTAGAGTTCATGTTTATATAGTACTCAAATCTTCAAATAAAATAAAAGGGGAAATTAAGTCAGATCTTTTTTTACATGTTTAAAAGTAAGTTAATTTTTTGCCTTTGGTTTATTTAATGTATACTTGACAGTTGGCTAGGGCTACCTGCCTTTTTATTTTGTTGTACTGGTTACGAATGAGCCCTGTAGTCTTTTTTTTTTTTTTTTATTTACCTGTTTTTCTTTCTTTAAAAAAAAAAATTTTTTTTTAATTACCTGTTTTTCGTGGATTTTTGATTCTGGAAAATTGTCCAAGATGTATATTTTGTTTGTAAAAGAATACCGGGATGAGTAACTGGTCCAATTCAATAGCTGTGTAGTGATTGATATAAAGGGCTCTGAATAATTATATCTAAGTTGGAAATGTTTTAAAAATATAGCTTTAAAATGAAAATAGACTTTTATATAATTATGTGTTTCATTTCTTAGTAAGGAAATCATTTTTGAGTTATAACAAAACCATATGGGGCCCTTTGGAACTGGTGGAGAAACTGTACCCAGAAGCAGAGGAAATCGGAGCCAGTGTCCGGGATTTACCAGGTCTTAAGTAAGTAAGCATGTTGCTTGTTCATCCTGAACCATAGAAGTAAGTGCATTGGGTGCATAGGGTGTTATAAACTCACACCCTAGTGTATGCATCCTGAAGTTCCTTCTCTCCTCATAAGATGGTCTTCATTGGTTATGGCACAGCTCAAATTCCATTTCCTTTATGAAATTTTCCCTGGGTCTCTACAATAAAAATTATTAAATACTTTCCTTTATACGCTTTTTTTCCACCCTTTATACTCTTATCTCTATATTTTTCCCGTTATTATGCCACTTCAGTGCTGCTTTGTATTTCAGGAAACTGCAGATTCCTTTAAGATAGGATGTATGAATTATGTACTTGTTTCCTGCATGTTAAGCTAGTTAGCACTTACCGGTGAAGTTTGGCAGTCAATAACTGTTTACCCAAGACTGAATTAGGTAGGCTCCAAGGCTAAAACCCAAGAAATTTGAGGTCTCAGAACTTGTGCAAATTACTTTTCTTCCGAAAATTGGGTCTTAAAGTGTCACATGCCTGTTTCATCAGACTGTGTCTGTGTTCTGAATACAAAAAACTGAAGCATTCTGGCAAGTGTTGAAAATCCTTTGCAGGTCTAAGGTGTTATTCTTCTTTTGATTCTAATTAAGAGTAAGTGCTCTTCTAAATAATTAAATGCTTATATTTATTACTTAAAGAGAAAATCACTATTCTATTATTTTTCAAATATTTCTTTTATTCATTTGTACTTAAGAACTTAAATTGCAACCTCTCTTAACCAACTCCTTTCCACGGAGTCAATTCTGATTCACAGAGACCCTATAGGACAGGGTAGTAGAACTGCTCCTTTGGGTTTTCGAAACTGTATACCAAGCGCTCCTCTAAATAAATTCACTCACTCCATCTCACTGCCATAGAGTCGACTCTAACTCACAGTGACCCTATAAAGGACAGAGTGGAACTGACCCTTTGGGTTTTCAAGACTTTCAGTCTGTACAGGAATAGACAGCCGCATCTTTCTCCCGTGGGGCAGCTGATGCATTCCCGCTGCCGACCTCGTGGTTAGTAGCTCAATGCACTCTGCCATATTTTAATTCTTGTGTCTGGTTCATAAAAATAACTTTTTTGGGCTTAGCTTTTTCTGTCAGATGCTTCCTATTGGCCAGACTTAGGGTTTTGTGTATTGTGAGGGTGGGGTCGGTGGATATAGTGGTGTTTGGCTTTTTTCCCCTGGTGGTTATCAGAACATTTAAGTATTTAGATGGTGGACATATTTGAGTGCTAAACATAAGAATCTACTGTTACTTGAGCACTGCTTGGGAGTAGCTGCATTGTCACATTTGGTGCTTAAATCGGTCCTATAGAAGAGGTGATTTAAATCACTATACTGTATACCTGTGAAAAGTGAGAAGCAGAGAAGCTGTTCTTGGTTTCACTAAATCGCAAATGGCATTCACACTTGACGTGACAGCCTAGGCACCCCATGGAGCAGGTCCTCTTTCTCAGGGTCTCTGAATTGGCGTTGACTTGTCAGCACATAACAGGTTTAACGAGGGGGGGGGCGGGGCTGTCTCACAAAGAGATAATTTGGTTTGAGAGTGATACATGCTTATATCAGAGGGAGGAAATTTACAAAAATAAATATGTTCTGAAGAATGAAGAGTGGTTTCTTCCCACAACCTGCCAAAGTTGCCTCTGCATTGGGGGAAAAAAAAAGAGAGTGTGAAGGGTACTTTTTCTTTTATAAAATATGACGTATTTTATAGAACTCAGGTTTACTTCCACTAAATGATAGACCTTGGTTAAGAGAGGCTGCGATTTAATTTCTTAAGTGCAAATGAATAAAAGAAATATTTGAAAAATAATAGAATAGTGATTTTCTCTTTAAGTAATAATCAACCTGATAACTTAGTTTTGTTTTTTGGCTAATTCCTCAAAAATGGGCACCCTATTCCTTCTTACTCTGGAAGCTCTGCTGAACCTGTTCACTTTCGGTAGCCCTGATATTTAAAACACCAGTGCTATAGCTTCCAGGAGCACAGCAACACGCATGCCAGGTGTTCCTGACCCGGGCCGTGGTATTTCCAGTCGCCTCTTATGTATGGACGTTGGATATCAAATAAAGAAGACTGCAGAATTAATGTTTTTTAATTATGGTGCTGGTGAAAAATATTTAAAGAAGAAACGGGTCTGTCTTGGAAGAAGTACAGCAATGAATGCCCTTAATAAGCTCAACTGACGCGTGACTACAACAGTGGGCTCAAACAGAACAGCAGTGAGAATAGCACAGGAGGGAACCGTATTTCTGTTGCAAATAGAGTTGGAACTGACATTTGGGACCGACTTAAAGGCACCTCAACACCACCTTCTTAGTTTGTTTTAAGATTAAAAAAATTCAGATATAATGCCACTTAATCTTTGAAAACAAAATCTTTTTTTTTCTAAATCATTTTATTGGGGACTCATACAACTCATCACAATCCATACATCAATTGCGTCAAGCACATTCTTACATTCGCTGCCCTCGTCATTCTCAAAACATTTGCTCTCCACTTAAACCCTTGGTATCAGCTCCTCCATCCCTCATGAACCCTTGATAATTTATAAATTATTATTTTGTCATATCTTACACTGTCCAATGTCTCCCTTCACCCACTTCTGTTGTCTGTCCCCCAGAGAGGGGGTTATATGTAGATCCTTGTAATCGGTTCCTGAAAACATATTCTTATTGATGTATTTGCATATTCATTTTAGAGGGTGTAACCTATCCTGAAATATTGTCGCTATCTGGATAGTCATATTTTTAAGGCAAAAAATTGTACGTAGGTGTACAATGAAGTATATATATATATGATAGTTAAATGGGTCCAAGGGATTTGTTTACATCCTAAAGGAATTGACTGAAAGCCATAAAACTACAAGCAATACTATGATGAATTGCCTTTGTCTCTACTACTGTGTAGCAGGGATGGGGCGTGCAGTCTGCCATCCTTGGGGCTGGCACAGCTTTTCAGCCTATTGATTCTTTCTTCTAGGACTCCTCTGGGCCGTGCCCGGGCGTGGCTTCGATTGGCCCTCATGCAAAAAAAAATGGCAGATTACCTTCGTTGCTTAATTATTCAGAGGGATCTCTTGAGGTTAGTACCATTAAACCATCTTCATTTTGATGTTTATTTCATTCGTAACTTTTTGTGTTTAGATCTTGACTTTCCAAAAGTAGTGTAGTAGTTGTTTTGTGAGCACCCTTTAAGCCATCGGTCTCAACTGAAGGGCAAATATTGGCGTCAGAATTTCAGAAGCAGTCATTCATCATTGTTCCCTGAGAGTGGCTCTCGGAGTTCTGGAGACTACTATTCTGTTTGGGGCTGAACGTGTGACTTGTTTTTCTACTTGTTAAAGAAGAATGACCATATCTGAAATCTCCCCAATTTTCCAGTGATAAGCTGAAGATTAATTAAAATGGTTCAATAATAATGCATTATATCATTTTAATAAACACGTGTAAGGAAAGGTATACCTGTTAATTAATACTGATGTTGTGAAGTGAAGTGCTTTTATATAAGTCACCTATATTGCAAATATTTTGTTCATTACGACTGAATAATGAGGTAGAGCATGTAAGTAAGATAGCTTTAAAGAATATAAAATAAGGGCATGAGACAGTGAAAACTGCTTTTTAATGTGAAAGAGGTCTTTTTAGACTCCCCTATTTCTTTTACATGGCCCTGTTTGAACATTTTTTGGAATATAAAAAAATCTTTGATGGGTATCTGCTAAGAATATTTGCAGTACACATACCACATGCATTGGGTTTTGAAATGTTTCATTTTTTCATTTTTCCAATGGTCTTATCTATGCTAGAAAATGCAGTTCTAATAAAAGTGATAGTCACATTGTACCAGCCTCTGTCTGAACGCCAAAAACATTTCAAGCCTTTTTCTGTGCTGCTTTTTCTCTCTCCTCGTATTTCCTTTACCTTTTTTTTCTGTTTGGTTCCTTTCTTTTTAGCAGTATAAAAGAATTCTAAAATTGAAAATTGTAAGCAGTTCTTTGAAAGATGATGAAGCTGGTATCTAAAGTAATGGGCTGAGATTTAAAATTTTTTTTAATTAAACAATTTTTATTTTCATTTTCCCAGTGAATTCTATGAATATCATGCACTGATGATGGAAGAAGAGGGAGCAGTAATCGTTGGGCTGCTGGTTGGCCTGAATGTGATAGATGCTAATCTGTGTGTTAAGGGAGAGGATTTAGACTCACAAGTAAGTGAAAATGGCTAATACCAATTGCAGTTTCTATTGTTCCTCTTGGACCCAAGTATCCCTCGAGTTGTAAGCAGTACCAGTAAACCATGAAGAACATTTAAGCTTGCATGTTAAAGGTACTTCTGATAAAGTACTATTTTCTCTGCTTTAAATAAAAGCTCTAATTTGAGTGCATGTTAAAGGTACTTCTGATAAAGTACTATTTTCTCTGCTTTAAATAAAAGGAATTTTATTTACTTCAGGTTGGAGTGATCGATTTTTCCATGTATTTAAAGAATGAAGAAGATATTGGAAATAAAGAAAGGTATGGTTTCTTTACATGTATTTCACATGTTGTGTTGTTTGACGTAGAAGGTCAGTGAAGGAGACCGAGACGGAGACGGTCGGTCACAGAGACGGACCGAGCCGGTGGCTGCGGCAGTAGGCATCAAGGACGACTGTGAGGGCAGCACAGTCCAGACCGCCACCCTTCCGCTGTTGGAACGGACTCAGTGGTGTCTTGCAAAAACCATACTCTTTTATGTATACTTAAAATAATATTTATCATTGTTTTATAAATTAGTATGAAGCCGACCTATTTGCAGTAGAGTTTTTGTAAGACTTTCAGGCATGCCTTACCTGTTATTCCTGAGATACCATTTAGTAGTCAAATGTACTTTGTGATAAAATAAATGGAAACTTATTATTATTATTTTGGAAACATACTATTCTCAAGCTTACAGATGCTGGTTTATTTCAAGTTATAATTACTTTCAAATTTAAAATATGCTAATAATCTTGTTAAGACTAGTATTAGGAAGTTAAGATTTTCAGCAGCGGTTATAGTTATTTAGTAACTAGTTTACTGCTGAACTATTATAAAGATTGTTGAACTTTTTAGGGCCAGATACAATTATATCATTCCAGACTTTGGATGACTCAGACTTTTTGTGGTAGGTAAATGTTTCAAACCTTGTCAAATTAGCACAACACTACTTTATTTTCCTTCTAGGAATGTTCAAATTGCTGCCATATTAGACCAGAAAAATTACGTTGAAGAGTTAAATCGACAACTGAAGTAAGTATTATAGATATTCAGCAAATTTGTGAATATTGTCTGAGTTGATTTTCTTTCTTCAGGCCAGTGTAATCCAGCTTCTTTTTTCTTATTTAAAAATCATTTTATTGGGGGTTCGTACAACTCTTATCACAATCCATTTATATATTTGTTGCCATCATCATTCTCAAAACATTTGCTTTCTACTTGAGCCCTTGGTATCAGCTCCTTATATTATCTTCTCCCTCCCCGTACCCCTCCCTCGTGAACCCTTGATAATTTATAAATTATTATTATTTTTTCATGTCTTACACTGTCTGACATCTCCCTTATTTCACTTTTCTGTTGTCCATCCCCCAGGGAGGGGGTTATAAGTAGATCCTTGTGATCGGTTCCCCCTTTCTACCTCACCTTCCTCTTCCTCTCTTGGTATCCCACTCTCATTATTTGTCCTGGATTCCCTTTTTTCTAGGAGCTTTTGAAAATAGGTGAAGGGATAGTAAGAGAACAGAGACTAAGAAGTTAGAAAATTTTTGGAGATAACTTTTTTTTAAAATCATTTTATTAGGGGCTCATACAACTCTTATCACAATCCATACACACATCAATTGTGTACAGCGCATTTGTACATTCATTGCCCTCATCATTCTCAAAACATTTCCTCTCCACTTAAACCCCTGGCATTAGGTCCTCATTTTTCCCCTCCCTCCCCGCTCCCCCCTCCCTCATGAGTCCTTGATAATTTATAAATTGTTATTTTGTCATATCTTGCCCTGTCCGACGTCTCCCTTCACCCACTTTTCTGTTGTCCTCCCCCTAGGGAGGAGGTCACATATAGTTCCTTGTAATCGGTTCCCTCTTTCCTACCCACTCTCCCTCTACCCTCCCTGTTTCGCCACTCACACCACTGGTCCTGTAGGGCTCATCTGCCCTGGATTCCCTGGATTTCCAGTTCCTATCTGTACCAGTGTACATCCTCTGGTCTAGCCAGACTTGCAAGGTAGAGTTCCTGTCATGGTAGTGTTTTTAGGGTAGGTGGCCGTGTTTTCCCTTATATGAAGTCCAGGATAGGTAAATCTATGGAGACAGTAGTTGGATTAATAGTGTCTTGTGCTCAGATTAAGAGGCAGTTGTGTGAACAGAACAAGGATTTAAGGCTTATTAATAGCCTGAGATATGTAGATGATACAACCTTGCTTGCTGAAAGTGAGGAGGACTTGAAGCAGTTGTTGATGAAGACAGAGAATTGCAGCCTTCAGTATGAATTACAACTGAGTATAAAGAAGACCAAAATCCTTACAACTGGAGCAACAGATACCATCATGGTAAATGAGGAAAGGTTGAAGTTGTCAAGTGTTGTGTCTTGCTTGGATCCACAATCCATGCCCATGGAAGCAACAGTCAAGAAATGGAAAGGTGTGTTGTATTAGGTCAATTTGCTGCCCTAGACCTCCTTAGAGTATTGAAAAGTAAGGGTGTTACTTTGAGAATTAAGGTGAACTTGACCCAAGCCATGGTATTTTCCATTCTCTCATGCACGTGAAAGTTGGACATCTGAAGAAGAATCAATACATTTGAATTGTTGTGCTTGAGAAGAATATTGAAAGTACCATGGACTGCTAAAAGAACAAACTGGTATGTCTTTTTTAAAAAAGAATAGCATGCTCCTTAGAGGCATGGATGATCAGACTTCTCTTACATACTTTGGACATGTTGTCAGGAGAGACCAACCTATGGAGAAGGACAGCATGCTGGGAAAGCAGCGGAGCAGCGTAAAAGAGGAAGATCCTCAATGAGATGGATTGACGCAGGGGCTCCATCAAGGGGCTCAAACAGAGGCATAATGAGGGTGGTGCAGAATCAGGCAGTGTTTCTGTTGTGCACAGGGTCACTGTGGGTTGGAACCAAGTCAATGGCACCTGAAAAGAACAGGGTTATGGCGGAAAGTGAGGAGCTAATAATGGTGTAAGGAGGAAGAGACTGTATTGAAATTGAACGAGATGATAATTGCGCAGTTCGTTTTCATATGTATGGTATGTGAATTATATGTCAATAAAAAAATAGTAGCTTCTGAGGTGTAAGGGGTTCTACTAGGTCTAAATTCTGAGACGTCCTCTCAGAAAGTTAGTGACTGATTTTGGGGACCCCTTGGGGGTCATCTTGATAGGTTTAATCGTGGGATACTGATTGATCTTAGGGACTTGTGAAGTTTTAAGAAGATAGAGAACTACCGGGGAGGAAAAGGGTCAGGGAGCGGTGCTGAAGAGTCGTTTTCCATCACAACACAGTCCACTGTGCATTCTTCAAGGCAGCAGGGGCTTTTCTACCGGAATGTCATTTTCAGCCCTTATGCCATCTACCCCACAGCTCTCATCTTACCCTTTAGACTTCTTTTTGTTTCCCAAACTCAAAGAGCGCGTCAAAGGAACATGATTTGAGTCCTCAAGGATCCTCAAACTGCTATTGTGATGTGTTGTAAAGCAAAGAGCCTAGAATTCTTCACGGAAGGGTTAGAGAGATGGGGATACTGGTGTTAGAAACAATAGCTTCCCATGTTGATATTTTTGTTAAAGGAAGGCTTATATGATTTTGTAGCGGTACCTTTGGCCTTACTCTTGTATGTATATGTTTTGTAACTTGGTTTCCTATAATGTACGTACTGTAGTATATGTTATTACAAAGATAACAGCTGACTTGAGATGGCAATATCAAGTAGACTCAATTAAATGCACATTAGTTTCCACTCTTGATCTTTTGAAACAAAAATTCAAAACCCAAATGTGTCTATCCAGTGTCATTTGACTTTTAACTCTGTCCCTGAAAGCCAGCTATTCAAGTAGCTACGGACAGTGTGGCGTGTCAGACTCACATTCCCCAGCCCGTTTCTCTCTGGAGGTCAGCAAACTGTTATGAAAGCAGAAAGATAAACCTGAACAAAGCTGCGATTAAGGACTACGCTTTATAGACATCATTAGGCTTCTCAGTTATGAAGTGAGGATTTAAAGTTTACTCTTTAATAAAAATAATTTTGAGCAATATAATCTTTGTATAGAAATTTCAGTCCCCCAAATAAGTTGAATGTAAGAAGGATCCTAAGAAGACAGTAAGAAATGACGAGGACCACCAGATGGAGTTTTGGTAGAAATATCTATGCTTTTGCTATAGTCTGTTGAATTTATCCAACCAATTGACATTTTTCTAGTTTTTCAAACATTTTATTGGGAGCTCTTACAGATAACATAGCATTTCACCCTTCAGTCACATCAAGCAGTGCTGTACGATTGCTACCACAGTCAGCTTCAAAACATTTTCTTTCTTTCTTTTTTCCTTGCCTTCGTTTGTCTGAAATTTCTATACCCTCGCTCTGGAGATGGTGCAGAGCAAGGCCTCAAACCGTTTCAAACTGTTCTTGCAAGCACTGTAGGAACATACAGGGTCACTCCAGACCCAGACACGCTGGAGGCTTGCAGCAAAACATTCTTTTTTGTTTGAACTCCTTGATACCAGCTTCCCTTTGCCCCCTCCCTCCCCCATCATACCCCCACCTCCCCAGAAACCCTTACTCTTTTTTTGACATATCTTACACAATCCTATCTATCCATTCACATACAATTCTGTTGTTCGATCCCATCGAGTGGGGTTATATTATTTCAATGCTATCAGTTCTCCATTCCCCCCATGCAATTTATATTTTTCAGGGTAAACTCAGGTAGTTGATAGATGGTAGCATATTGAATCCAGAATAACTATTTTTTAATCTCTGTGAATCTGTGTGATTTTGAATGAGTTTTCTTTCTCATGATCTCAGCAGCACAGTCAGCAGCCTCCACTCAAGAGTCGATTCATTGGAAAAGTCAAATGCTAAGCTGATCGAAGAGGTATGCTCACCTAGTTGTGGATGATTTTCTTCATGGGCCTAATGTTGGTGATCCTTTTTCACTTTAAATATGCCACATGCATGCATGCACATGCATGTATCTACACACAGAGACACACACGTGTGTAGATATCACCATGATTGAATACCTGTAATATAATTGTAATCAGTCGTTCTAAGTTCTAGAGAAGCCACCGTTTTTAAGCAAATTCACAGTGTTAGGCCTCTGTGAGATTCTATTCTTGAGATTTTATACTTCTGGAAATGAGTCCAGAGACAAAGCTCACACAGACACAAATCACAGGTAATCTACGATTCTGAGTTTTAGATCTGGATGACCAGAATTTCGGTAGTGGAATAACTTATGGTCAGAGATGCCTGTCAAATGATCCTTCTCCCTTGTTCTACTAGGTAGATTACTTTGGATGAGCAGCATCACCTGGTCATGCCCACTCTTTTTCTTCCCTCCTAAGTATAAAACTCATGCCCTGTGCCTTGGATTTTTCTTGCTTTGTGAACATGGTTTTGATGGCCTGCACACTGCCCATTTGAAGAAGAGCCACACATTTGTGCTAGTTTTCTTTTGAATACTGTTTGCAAATCTGCTTTTTAGATAAGTCTTAAAAGATGAGGCTTTATACTCACGTAAAAAGTTGCAGTCTTGGAAGTCTATAGGGGCAGTTCTGCCCTGCCCTATCGGGTCACTGAGAGTCAGAATTTACTTGGTAGCAGTGAGTTTGTGAGCTAATTGGCTTATCATGAACTTCCATATTATATTTTCAATGATAATACAGCCCTCTGTCCTTTATATAGTTCTATATTTGAAAATGTCTTTAAAGTCTTTCTATCATGTGATTCTTTATATCCTTAAGCAGATACAGATTGTAAATTACATAAGCAAAAAACATGTAGACTGCGAATGGAAATAAGAGTTTAATTTCTTTACTTGATGTCTTAGGATAATGAGCATATTTATCTTATAAAAGTACCCATAGCTATGAGAGACAATTTTCCTAGTTTGAGAATTTTTATTTCCTATTTTTTGTAGCCATGAGCATAGCTTGTAAAACAAGTAATAAAATGTTTTAAAATTCTTTTTTCTTGTCTTTGTTTTGTAATTTTTAGTTAGCAATAGCCAAGAATAATATTATTAAGCTTCAAGAAGAAAACCATCAATTACGAAGTGAAAATAAATTGATTTTCATGAAAACACAGCAGCATTTAGAGGTAAGTGTAAACTGCTTTTACTGTTTTATGTCAGAAATTGCTCCCTTCAGAGGTGTTGCGTAGGCTAGGTGTTTCTGTGCACATAAGTGGTGGTGATTCTGGAGTAAGAGCTTTGATCTTTTCTTCCAAGGTTACCAAAGTAGATGTGGAAACTGAACTTGAAACATACAAGCTGTCTCGCCAGGGGCTGGATGAAATGTACACTGAAGCCAGAAGACAGCTGCGAGATGAATCTCAGTTACGACAGGTGAGTTACAGTAGGTTTTATATCAGCAAAATTCTGCCTGTAATCTATCGAAGAAGTACCATTTAAAATCTTTTTCAGCCTTACCTTCTTTGCTGTGAGCTAGCAAGTCCACTCCTTAATCACTTCAAATTCTTGAAATTCCCATTATCTTTGTTTTTAAGCTATGGGTTACAAGCTGTGATCATGAAGTTATCAGTTGTGACCAGGATTAAAAATTGTGTAACTAGCATATTTAATATTAGTAAAATTATTTTTAACATTAACCTTTCTAACTGTGATGTAAAATAGTTACAGAATAATATATTGTCAGTTCTTCCTTCCCTCTTGCTCTTTTCCCTTATGTTAGGAAATTTATTAATGCTTTTCATAAGACTTCAAGAAAACAAAACTGTACAATGGGATGTTTTTACCTTTACTTAAGCAGACTGCTTAATTCCTTTTGTTTCAGGAAAATTAATTCTGAATTTATTTGATAAAAAACATTTAAATTATTGGCCCAGTACAATAATGATTAAGATTATGTAAAATAATGATTTAAAATCAGGAAAGGAATATACATCAGGTTTCTGTACTTTTAGCATATTTAGTCAGTCTGAATTCTGAGCAAACAATCTGATAAGCTGGACTGTATGGGGAAACCATGGCACCAGGATCTGGCGAAGCCTGGTTAGGAACAGCAGGCAGCTGACATAGCCTTACATGCTGAAACGAAGGAGGGCTTAATGCACCTGCTGATGACGATGACGAAGCAGTCTTCACTGTGCTTCTACCTCAGCATGAAGGAGGCAAAAAGCCTCACAAATGGACTGATAAGAAGTGCTGTGATAAATGCAAGGAATAGTTGAAGTCAAATATTTCATTTTTCTTGGATCTACAAGTAATGCCCATGAGAATAGCAGTCAAGAAATCAAATGATGTATTGCATTGGGCAAATCTGCTGCATAAAACCTCTTTAAAACCATGAAAAATGACGATGTCATTTTTGAGGACTAAGGTGTACTTGACCGAAGTCATATTTTCGGTTGCTTCATATGCATGTGAGAATTGGACAGTGAATAAGGAAGTCGGAAGAAGAATTGCTGCCTTTCAGTTATGATAAAGACAGAATATTGAATACACCATCGATGGCCAGAAGAACAAACAAAACTATCTTGGAAAAGGTACAGTCAGCCAATAAAAGTATAAAAAAAAAAAAAAGCTCAGGACACAGGGAATCCAGGTCAGATAAAAGCCTCAGGAACAGAAATGGGAGTAGCAATACCAGGAGGGCAGGGGGAAGGTGGGGAGTGGAGGGGGAAGGAAACTAGGGGAAGGAAGACAGTGGTTGGTGTAAGATATGAAATTAATAGTAATTTATCAAGGGGTCACAAGGGTGGGAGGTGGGAGAGAGGGTAAAAAGAGGAGCTGATACCAAGGGCTGAAGTAGAATGTAAATGTTTAGAAAATAATGATGGCAACATATGTATAAACATGCTTTGTACAATTGATGTATGGGCTGCTGTAAGAGCTGTAAGAGCCCCCAGTAATAAGATCTTTTTTAAAAAAAAGAAAAAGAAAAGGTATAGTCAGAATGCTCCTTGTTTCAGGCACTGTGGCCATGTTCTCAGGAAGCAGTCCATGGAGAAGGTAGAGGGTGGGTGAAAAAGAGTAAGAGCCTCAAAGAGATGGATTTACATGTGGCTGCAACAGTGGTCTCACGCATAGCAATAATGGTGAAGATGATACTAGACCGGGCAGAATTTTTGTTTTCTTGTAGTGGAAACTGATTCAGTACCTTATATCAGGTTAATGATAATGAACAGAATAGAGAATATGCTCTCCTTAGAGCAAAAATGCATTTGAAAATAATTACCAAAGAAGAAAATATTTTCAATTTAATGATGTTCCAGGGCCTGGTTTTTCACTTTAGTGACACTTATAAAATAAAATAAGTCATCTGCATATTGAATGGAAACATATTTCTTGATTTCATTAACTGTCCTTTTGATATCCTATGACTTGGGGACATTTTCATATTGCAGGATGTGGAGAATGAGCTAGCAGTACAAGTTAGTATGAAAAAAGAAATTGAACTTGCCATGAAGTTGCTGGAGAAAGACATCCATGAGAAACAAGACACTCTAATAGGCCTGCGGCAACAACTGGAAGAAGTTAAAGCAATTAATATAGAGATGTATCAAAAGTTGCAGGTGAGGAACAGTCTTAAATACTTGAAATTAAATAAATTGAAATTTTAGTAGGAATAGTTTGGTTTTAAAGAGATAATCCCATTTTAACTGTGCCAGGCTGGTTATAAAAATTAGTGTCTAACACCCGTGAGGGGGACGAATAACAAACGTGGGTGAAGGGTGTTGAATAACAAACGTGGGTGAAGGGAGACAGCAGATGGTGTAAGTTAATGAAAATAATAATAATTTATAATTTATCAAGGGTTCACAAAGGTGGGATGAGGTGGCGGGAGGTGGAAGGAAGGAAAGAGGAGCCGACACCAAGGCCTCAAGTAGAAAGACAATGTTTTGAAAAGGTTGATGGCAACATGTGCACAAGTGTGCTTGACACAATTGATGTATGGATTGTTACAAGAGCTGTAAGAACCCCCAATAAAATGATTTTTTAAAATAGTACCTTTTAAATGGGAGCATAAGAAATGTAATGTAAAAATGACCAGACAACGAAATGTTTACCTAGCTGAATTTGTTTCTTAATGCTGAAAAGCTGGCAATATGAGGTAAAAATCGTTTTGAAAAACTCAATCTGAACATACAGTATGTTTATTTGGGAATTACTTTATGCCATATAAAAACCAAAAAACAAAACCCACTGCCATTGAGCAGATTCGGACTCATAGTGACTCTGTCTAGGGCAGTGGTTTTCAACCTTCCTAATGCCGCGACCCTTTAATACAGTTCCTTATGTGTGGTGACCCCCTACCATAAAATTATTTTTGTTGCTACATCACTGTAATTTTGCCACTGTTCTGAATCAGGCGACCCTTGTGAAAGGTGGCCTGACCCCCAAAGGGGTCGTGGCCCTAGGTTGAGAACCGCTGATCTAGGGCGTCCGACTCTTAAGTCTTCAAGGAAGCAGGTAGCCCTATCTTTTCCTGTAGAGTGGCTGCAGGATTTGAACCACTGATCTTGCGATTACTAGCCCAATGCTTACCCAATAGCACACACTACCAGGGCTCCTATTATACTATTAGTCATAATTTTAAAATTTCCAACAATTACTAGGGTAGCATTTCAATAAAAATTAAATGAGAAATATTTAATTTTTATTGAAATGCTAACAGTAGTTGTTGGGAATTTTCTAATAAAGTGAAATTGCTATTAAGTAGACTTGTTGCCAAAAGCTCTTTACAATTTACTTTGTTTGAAAAAAGGCACATTTTAAGAGTTTAATATGTTGTCTTCCAAAAATATTGAAGGCTTTTTCCTTTATTACATTTAATCTACAAATTAATTACTGTTTTAAAGAAGCAGCCCATAACAGAATATTCATGAGAAATTTATATTCAGGTCTAAGAATCAAAACTCATAGAGCTTTTATGTGTTTATAAAATAGGGTTCTGAAGATGGCTTGAAAGAAAAAAATGAAATAATTGCACAATTAGAAGAAAAAACCAATAAAATTACTGTAGCTATGAGGCAGCTGGAACAAAGGTATAGCACTTCCAATCTTAACTTCTTTTCATTTCTTCCCCCTGCTTTTGTGTTATTTATCTCTGATACCTGCTAGGAAAACCATACTTAGGAAACTTTAAAGTAAGGCAATTTCTTTGTTTAAGTCTGGCAGGATTTTGTCCTTTTTATCTTAATTGTTGCATATTGGGAATCAAGTTGCTTCATGTTAGGCTGATTTATTTGAGTTTTGTAGATTTAGAAAAAATGCCTAATCCTGGCAATTTCATGTGGCTTAATCTATTCTGTGAAACAAATACTCAAACAAAAACTTGGAAAAAATTAAAGAACAAGGATAACCAGTGGTGGGATTATCCCCAATTGGTTTCCATGCATATTGATTGTCACGCCCGCCTTTCACCATCTCTTTATCTGGAACAAGCATTCTGCCTTAGTTTCATTTCTTTGATAGGACCTTCAACCTAGCTCAAGAAGTAATTTTGTTTAAATTGAATTGTTTTATATTGGCATTTTCACTTTAATTGTTGGAAAATGTAATGTATATCCATTGCCCTGTCATGTTGGTGTCAACATATGTCTTGTCATTGCTTTCTTTGAATCTACTTATAAGAAACATAATTATTAATGCTTTATTGACATGAATATTCTTTTATTGACATCCTCTTTCTTCTTTTTTCTTTTTTTTTTGTTTTCTTTATCCCCATTTTTACATTTTGGACATCTTTATTACCTTTTTTCTGTCTTTGATTTCTGTCCATTCCATTATGAAGTGACAACGATTTGTTAACTCAAACTAGGACAATTGCAATGTCATTGGTGAAATGTGCCAGCAGCGACACTCCAGACCAGTACAAGCTGGTCAAAGATATATCTTTCTGAAAACCACTTGTATTTCAATAGACTAGAGAGAAGCAACAATTTTATAATACATTAGCTAGACAGGAATTTATGCTGTTAAGTGTTCTAAAAGGGTGTTAGGAACCGTGGACACACCTGGTCCAACACTGCCATCCAGCAGAGTGGGTACCCGTGGGGTCACCAAACTGCACTCCTCACACCCTGTGCGCAAAGGCTGGTTTCAGTCTGCACCCTTTGGAGGTCAAGATTTTCAAATGCAGTTGTATCTTTTTAGCTACGTTCAGATGAAAAATATAAACATAATTTAAAGAAAGTTAACCTTTGGTTTCACAATGTGTTGACGCGGATCATTTTTCCCCCATTGGCTCACTCTGCCTAATGACTTCCTTAGTGATTTTCAGAATGTGCGTTCAGTTGTCTGTAGCCTGGATTGGCAGTCTCCTTTGTTTTCACACCTTCGGCTTTCTATCCCTTCAGCTCTCCTCTATGATGGCACAACTTCAAGGCCTACCTCACTCTGACTTACACTTTCCTTTCTATGACTTTAGGGAAAAGCTAGCCTTTCCCCTCTTCTTATGAGATGTTTATGTTTCGAGAGAGCTTTAGTGTTACTCTCCTTTCCTGGAAAGTGGCATTTATACCTCTGGAATGTATGAGGACTGCCTTTAACTCAAACAAAACAAGCCCCACTGCCGTTGAGTTGATTCTGACTCAGGTGTTTAAGGAAGAAGAGGCTGTGTTTTAGGTTAGTTGAACAGAAATGTCTCTTATGATTCCCTCCAAAGAAGTTAATGTCTCTTGAACACTTGGGAGATACCTTCTTCAAACAACCCTGAAATTAAAGGTAGGAAATTCTAGATGACCGAAGGAGACAGGGAGAAGCATTGACTGACACACCGAAACAATAAATGAAAATCATCTTCTAGGCAAGTTTTAAACATTCACTGATGAGAGGGAAAAATGACCTAGCAGTGATGCCAACTAGCACTAAATTCTTTTGGCTGTTCAACAACAGACAACTACGTATATACGGATGGGAGTAATTTAGTAACTGCATCAAGAACCTGTACAAAGAGCCCAGCTTTTATTTGGAGCCTTTGTTCTTGGCCTGCGAGCACACTTGATTCCTAGCATACACAGCCTGGCATGCTGTGAAACAGGGTGCCTTCTTGGCTTAGTGTAGGCAGAAATACTCTGCTGTTCATGGTTTGGTAAAGAAGGCAGTAATGTACCTACGATACTTTGGACTTGGACTTATTATGCTCTACATAAGTGGTAAAAGCTGGATTGCTTTACATTGTTAATTATGAACAAGAAATAAAAAAATTTGAAGTTAGTATTCTGGGCATATTTATATGTGTATTGAAAATCACATAACAATTTCTAGACATTGTGTGGCTCTTTCACGTTTGAGTTTGTGAGTTTCCCCCAAACTTTGTTTTCATTTAGAAATGTTTCTATTTCCCCATTTTTCTTTTCTTTGTCTTCTTCACCCTTTTACACCCTAGTTCTAGCCTCAGTTTTACCCAAAGTTGATTTGAATTACACCAGATTCCAGCAAGCAGAGAAGGAGCAACTGGCGGCTGAAGCCGAGGGTGAGAACTATCTGCAAGAATGTCTGAGGAAATCCGATAGTCTGCAGAAGCAAATCTCCCACAAGGAGAAGCAGCTGTGAGTACTCCACTCTGGGCACAGATACTTGTGTCACCAGCGCTCCCGCTCAGCGTCCCCTGCCTTTTGACTTATGCGTAATGGTAGAACACCCATGTGTCCAGTTATTTAATAAGGCCAACCGGATGGTGGGGTTTTTCCTTAATAGACATGTTTGAAAGGATCACGATAACAATACTGACATTTCTTTTATATATATATATATATAATCATTTTATTAGGGGCTCATACAACTCTTATCACAATCCATACATACATCAATTGTGTAAAGCACATTTTTACATTCATTGCCCTCATCATTCTCAAAACATTTGCTCTCCACCTAAGCTCCTGGCATCAGCTCCTCATTTTTCCCCTCCCTCCTCGCTGCCCCCAATACTGACAGTTCTGTTCCCATTTTTTCTACAGCACTTCCTTGCGTTGGGCCTTGTGCCTCTTCACCGCACGTCGGGCAGGCTATGATAGGTCTCGCGTGTCCCCATTTAGAGAGAAAGCAGCTTCAGAGACTGTGCTCCAGGCCGGACATGAAAAGGGCTGAGGTCTCCCACCAACAGCCCAGATCTTCAACCACTTGGTTTCAGTGTCTTCTTGTGAGATTTGTTCTTGCTGCTGTTGCTTAGCATTAACTCAAAGAGTATATCATACCTACAGCATATACCTTTTACTTTAAGAAGCTTAAATTATAAAAATATGCTTTTTTATGAAAGTTTCATTTATGATTTTTATCTGTTCTGCCCATCTATGTATTTTAATGATATCTCTAAACATACAGAACATTTACTGAAAAGTTAGAACTGAAGCCTACCATTTCATTGTTTTTGTCTTTTTCCTCTCCTTTTTTTGTTTATTGATTCTTTTCTTGGTCATTTTTCCGCCTATGGGTTACTTGGACATTATTTAGAATTTCCTTTTTATATATGTATGGTATTTTAGTCTACTTTTTTGATAGTTTTTCTTTTTTTAACTTTTAGCATGATGCAAATGAAATGTCAGTATGGTGGTATCATTTTTTTAAGTTTTTGAATATTAAAATGCAGAAATGCTGTCTCCATTTAGATCCCTTTATAATTTTTTAAAGTATTTCTCTATATTGAGAACCATAGTACACAGTGTTATAATTTTTACTTGGACCATTGAACATGAGTTATAAAAGTCTACATTTTTTTCTTCATTACTAATGTCCAAGATCCCTTCTTTAATCATTTTCATTTTTTATTTTTTTAATCATTTTAAATCGGGGCTCATACAACTCTTATCACAATCCATACATCCATCCATTGTGTAAAGCACATTTATACATTGCCCTCATCATTCTCAAAACATCTGCTCTCCACCCAAGCCCCTGGCATCAGCTCCTCATTTTTTGCCCTCCCTCCCCGCTTCCCGTTCCCTCATGAACCCTTGATAATTTATACATTATTATTTTGTCATATCTTGCACTGTCCAACGTCTCCCTTCACCCGCTTTTCTGTTGTTCGTCTCCCAGGGAGGAGGTCACATGTAGATCCTTGTAATCAGTTCCCCCTTTCCAACCCACCCTTCCCCCACCCTCCCAGTATTGCCACTCACACCACTGGTCCTGAAGGGATCATCTGCCCTGGATTCCCTGTATTTCCAGTTCCTATCTGTACCAGTGTACATCCTCTGTCTAGCCAGATTTGTAAGGATCATGATAGTAGGGGGAGAGGAAACATTTAGGAACTAGAGGAAAGTTGTATGTTTCATCGTTGCTACATCGCACCTTGACTGGTTCGTTGCCTCCCTGAGACCCTTCTGTAAGGGGATGTCCAGTGACCTGCAAATGGGCTTTGGGTCTCCACTCTGTGCTCATTCACTATGATATGATTTTTTGTTCTGATGATGCCTAATACCTGATCCCTTCAACACCTCGTGATCACACAGGCTGGTGTGCTTCTTCCATGTGGGCTTTGTTGCTTCAGAGCTAGATGGCCACTTGTTTACCTTCAAGCCTCTAAGACCCCAGACACTATATCTTTTGATAGCCGGGCACCATCAGCTTTCTTCGCCACATTTGCTTATGACCCCATTTGTCTTTAGCGATCGTATCAGGGAGGTGAGCACACAATGATAACGATTTTTTGTTCTTTGATGCCTGATAACTGATCCCTTTGGCACCTTGTGATCACACAGGCTGGTGTGCCTCTTCCATGTGGGCTTTGTTGTTTCAGAGCTAGATGGCCGCTTCAAGCCTTCCTTCTTTAATCATTTTCTTTGTGACCAAAGAATTTCCTTTAGCCAATCTTTTAGAGTAGATCTTTTGGCAATAAATTCTCTTAGTAGCCTTTCATCTGAGGAATCTTGAATTCACCTTTGCTTATGAAGTATATTTTCATTGGGTATAGAATTCTGGCTTGACAGTTCTTTTCTTTCGGCTGTTGAAAATGGATGTGTAAATAAAAAGAAAGTGGATGTGTTATACCAAGCTCTATAGTTTATGATGAAAAATGCAGTGTCAGTTCAGTCACTGTTACTCTGTGGGTATTGGGTTATTTCTCTCTGGATGCTTTTAGGAATCTTTCCATTAGTTGCCAATTTTGATGTTTCTGAGTGAATTTCTGAGATTTATCCTCTTTGGGATTCAATCCACTTCTTAAATCTTTATTTTTCAGTCCACTTACTTTCTCTTCTCTTCTGGGACTCGTTCTGCTAAGTATGAGTATAAAAATTGTTTGTTATAGTCTTACAGGTTTCTGGGTGTCTCTGGTATTTATATGTAAAATTTTTAAATGAATGTTTTATTGTAAAATAGGTGGGGCTGGGTTTATATTTCAGATCATTGAAGTCTGCGTTCAACAATTCAAACTACTTATCAACCACTCCTCCCTACCCCATTCTGTCCTACCCTCCTTCCCGGATTCCTCTCTGTCTTACTTATGGACCACCAGCCTCCTTTTACCCAAGTCAATACCCGTCAGTCTTCTATTTTATTGCCTCATCATCTCACTCTTGCCCTTCATCCATTGGGAACCTCCAAAAGTCTGCTCTGGTTTGCAAGTCTTTGTCATGGTTTTTATCCCTGTCGTAGTGTCTCATAACACTTGTCCTTTGGGGATTGCTTAATTCAGTCAGCATAATGTTATCCAGATTAATCCATGTCATGAGGTGTTTAGGGTTTACCTTTGATTTTTAATGATGCATAGTATTCCATTGTGTGTATGCACCAAAGTTTCTTTATCCAGTCTGATGGGCATTTGGACTCTTTCCAACTTGTTGCTATTGTGTACAGTCCTGTGATGAACATGAGAGTACACGTGTCTGTCTGTGTTAGGGCTCTTAGTTCTTTAGGGTGTACACCTAGTAGAGGATTGCTGGATTATAGAATTTCTATTCCCAGTTGTTTGAGGTAGCACCATATTGCTTTCCAAAATGGTTGTACATTGGTGTGGGTTTCTGTTGTTGTTGTTTTCAACCTGTTTCTAATCTGTATTCCCCTGTTGTTCAAACTTCTATTGTTCTATTTTCAAGCTCATTGTTTCTTTTCTCTGTCATCGCCAGACTACAGTTTCAGTTCTATATTTCCATTTGGCTCTTCTTGATGATTTTACTTTTTGCTGAGCCTTTCTATTTTTTCATTTGTGTCACTGTTTTTAATTTTTCACAGAAACTAATTTATGACGACCTCACACAAATTGAGATTTCCTTGGGCCCAAGTACAAACGTTTCCTATTACATCTCGGATATTTTGGGTACTGGGTGATAAGACTTTGGATGTTGCTTCAGACCATGTTGTCTGTTAAACTACACTGTTAGGGGAATGTGGGCACTGACTGTTGTAGCTGCTATTCAGGGATTGAAATCTAGGCTTTCCATTCACCCTTCATTATCTCATTGTGGAGAGGAGGAAGAGTGTCTTGTTACCAGTGGATGGGAGTCTCTGCTGGCAGCACTCTGGAGAGAAGTGGGCTTCACTAGCACCACCAGGTTGGGTTAGAAATCTAGACTCTCTCTGTACTTGGCTTTTGCTGACAGGGGTCAGGTTTGTGGATTTTTCCCTTGGTGTTTTACTGGAGTAGGTAGTTTATTGTTGTAAGGTTTCTATCTTGTTTGGCTGACCCCTTGATAGTCCTTTGGCAAGAGGGGACAGACCTTTCTTTCATTTTTTTCTTTTTAAATCATTTTATTGGGTACTCTTAGAGATATTATAACAATCCATAATTCAGTTAGCTCAAGCATAATTTTACAATTGCTGCCACCATCAGTTTCAAAAGTGTCTTTCTTCTTGAACTCTTTGATATCCGCTCCCCTTTATTACCTCCCTCCATTCTCCAGGAATCCGTATTATTATAGTATCATTTAAAAATTTTTTTGCTATATCTTACACCATCCAATGTATCTGTTCACCTATAATTCTGTTATTCATTTCCCTCTAGTGGGGTTATACAGTCATCATTGCTACAAGCACCCCCCTCTCCACCCCCACCCCTCCACCACACACACACTCTTCCTGGACCCTCAGGGAATCATTACTCCAGTTACTATTTCTGAAAGGTTTCTCTATCTTGGATTTCATGCATTGAACAATCTTAATTATACAAATGAACCTACGCAGGTGTAACAAGATTGATGAGGTGAAACTAAGCCCATAATAGAAAGGGGAGGAAATATTAAAGAACTAGAGGATAGTTATGTGTTTCATCGATGCTCTACTGCACCCTGGCTGTATCAGCCCTTCCGTGTGGCCCTTCTGTGAGACTTGTCATTAGTTTTTAAAGAAAATTTTGACCTGGCACAGAAATGTAAATAGTTAAAATCTCACCTTCCTGCCCTCATTTCCAATCCCAAGTGGTCACGTGTTTTAATAGTTTAGTCTGTGTCCTTCCAAGCATTTTCTACACATATGACATGTTTATATACAAAATTGTAGTAAAATGACAGATTGTTAACAGTAATGTTCTAGGTTGGCAAATAAATTGACACTTTCTCATCAGAAATCCTTGTGCTGCTAAACTGTTTACCCCAAAATAATTATGAAAGAAAATGCCTGAAGAGATGAAATAAAAAAGCAAAAGTGATTGACCAAGAAGATGTGTTTGTTACGAATATGAGCAGCTGCCATCTGAGGAACAGCACTGAGCTCTTGTGTGTTTTTCATTCAAGGGTACAACTGGAAACGGATTTGAAGATTGAGAAGGAATGGAGGCAGACTTTGCAGGAAGACCTTCAGAAAGAGAAAGATGCCTTATCTCATCTTAGAAATGAGACCCAGCAAGTCATTAGTCTTAAAAAAGTAAATAGTGGTAAAGCTTTAAAAGTATGTCTTGACAAATGTTATTTAAAAAGATAACCATAACTTAGATTTATACCAAGAAAATAAGATTCCCTTCCTATTTTAGACATTATCAATAAGATTAGTCAAATGAATGGGAAATTTTTCATATAGTGGACTTCAAAAAGTTTGTGAAAACATTTCTTTATCTTTTAATTCTAATTTCTGTGACCTTGCTGAAGTCCCTTGTACATGTAGCAGCTTTGGAAAATCCTTGGACACATCGCTCTTGTTCATGAGCCTTTAAAAACTAATAGTAGATCTGCAGTGTGGAATTTATTACTGCCATTTTCCTGTTGTTGTTGGAATTACCTTTTCTGTCTTTTATTATTTTGAAGGAGTTCCTTAATCTCCAGGGTGAAAATCAACAGCTGAAAAAGACATATCACGATCAAGAGCAAGCTCTTCAAGAACTTGGCAACAAACTGAGAGAGTAATTTTTCTTTTGTCCTTCAACTAAGTTATCATTGACTTAAGATTCGTGTGTGCCAGACCTACTAAGTAGTAAACTTTAAATACAGGAAAGGAGGATAAGGACAAGTTACAGAGAAACAGCACAACACGCCAAAAGGTTAAAAAGTTAAAGCTGTTGACATAGAAGCAATTTTAACAATGAAAAAAACCATTGTTTGATGTGATAGACCTTAGCCCTAACCATTATCTAATAGATAAAAGTTCGGGCTCTTGTTTAATTTCTTTAGTGTGAGAGAATTAGAACAACAGAATTTTGAAGTTACAGAAGATCTAGGGAGAGAGATCTCTTTCACACTATCTTGGGGAACCAGTTTGTGGAGTTTGTTTTCTTCTATTTTGGAGTCAGGGTTTAACATCATGCAGTGGGGTTTTATTTTATAAATCATTTTATTGGGGGTTCGTACAACTCTTAACACAATCCATACATGCATCAAATAAAGCACATTTGTACATTCCTGGCCCTCATTATTCTCAAACATATGCTCTCCACTTCAGCCCTTGGCATCAGCTCATTTTTTCTCCCTCCTTCCCCCTTTCCTCCTCCCTCATGAACCCTTGATAATTTATACATTATTATTTTGTCATCTCTTACACTGTCCGATGTCTCCCTTCACCCACTTTTTGGTTGTCCGTCTCCTAGGGAGGAGGTTATATATAATCTCTGTAATTGGTTCCCACGTCCCTCGACCCTCCCAGTATCACCACTCTTACCACTGGTCCTGAGGGGATCATCTGTCCTGGATTCCTTGTGTTTCCAGTTCCTATCTGTACCAGTGTACATCCTCTGGTCTGGCCCAATTTGTAAGGTAGAATTGGGCCCATGATAGTGGGTGTGGGGGAGAAGCATTTAGGAACTAGAGTTAAGTTGTATGTTTCATCACTGCTACACTGCACTGACTGGCTTGTCTCCTCCCTGCATTGCCTACAGATGGGTCTTGTGTACCCAATCTGCACTCCCCCCTCATTCACAATGATTTGATTTTTTGGTCTTTGATGCCTGATACCTGATCCCTTCGACACCCCGTGATCCCACAGGCTGGTGTGCTTCTTCCATGTGGGCTTTGTTGCTCTGAGCTAGATGGCCGCTTGTTTATCTTCAGCCTTTAAGACCCTAGACACTATATCTTTTAATAGCCGTGCACTGTCAGCTTTCTTCACCACATTTGCTTATGCACCCATTTGTCTTTGGTATACCAGTTTAATAGAAGAAAGTATTCTTCCATTGAGGGAGTACTTGAATGGAGGCCCAATGTCCATCTGCTACCATAATATTAAACCTATAAATATAGGCACATAGATCTATTTCCTCATCTCATATATAAATATATTTACATATGTACATGCCTTTATCTAGACCTCTATAAATGCCCTTTGTCTCGTAGCTCTTTCCTCTATTTCCTTTTACTTTACTCTTGTCCCATAGTGGGGTTTTATTGCAATAAAATGTCATTGGGTTCCTGTAAAGACAGAGAAACAGTGCTCTACTCCTGTCAGATTTTCCTCTTTGCACCCTGTGGATCATATTTTGAATTAATAGCTCCATCTTGTGCCCTAATTCAACATAAAAAGAAAAAAAAACAAAACAACACTGCCAGATGGCTTGTGAGAAGCAGCCAGCTCATCTTCCTCCCACGGAGGGCCTGGTAGTTCCGTGCCCCCTCCTGACTTAGTTAGCCGTCTGTGCGTGCAGTGCCACCAGGACGATGAATTTAACGTTACAGCATCTTTTTTAGTCATCTAAAAGCAGGAAATGGCCACAGTTACTTGTATAAATTCTTTGATGCATTATATGGTTAGAAACTTCAAATAGAAGGAAAAATGTTTAAAATCAACAAGTGTCCCATCCCTCCCAATTGTCAGTCTTCCTGAAACAAATCTGTGTAAACATCCCATCAAATATATATATGCATGTCATTTAAATAGGTTCAAGTAGAATGGAGACTCAATTGGTAAAGGTGGGTGCAAACTTGTCAGTTTTATTCCTTTATGACTTCTGAGATCACAGTCCCTGTAACATGGGTTCAGGTAGGACCAGTTATGAGTCAGAACCTACTTTAAACTTCAACTCAACATCTCTTCTGCAATGGCAATAATAATCAGAGCTGGAGAGAGAACCATGGTCCATATCCAAGCTTTCCTAGACCTTACCAACTGATCTGTAAAAACACTTCTTTTCTTCCTATATGAATTATAATTCATATAATTATATATGGTCAGACGGAAAGTTCAGTAAAATGATAAATTCCCTGGTTAACACATAGGATGATAAATATGAGGGGGCTTCAAAGGTTCCTGGGAAAAACTCCTTTATCTTTCGCAAACCTTTGGAAGCTCTGTCTTATCTTTAGAAATGCGTTCATCTCATCTAGGGCTCCCTGTTGTCTGCTGCCCTCCACATTAGGAAGCATGATGCCCTTCTCCCGGCCCTGGTCTCCTGACAACTGTCCAAAGTACTCAAGACACAAAGTCTTGCCATCCTTGCCTCTAAGAAGCATTCTGGCCGTACTTCCAAAACAGATTTGTTTGTTAGACTGTCTATTTGGATTAAATAAGATTATACGTTGAAAGGATCTAGTGCCTGACACACATAGCAAACCTACAAAAATAAAAAGATAATGACTTATTATTATTTTTGCTTTAGAACCTTGTGAAAATATAAAATAAAATCCTATGAAGTAGAGAAGTTCATTTGTATTGTAGCCTATAAACATTTTCCCCAGCATTAACAAGATAGTCTTTTATTATATTTCTGTTATTTACATCTCCTCTCTTCTAACCTTTTTCCTTGTGGTGTATACATATAGACATGTATGTAACAGATGGCAATTCAACAATTTTACCTTTACAGTCTAATGACATTAATTATGTTCATCCTGTTGTACAATAGCCACTACTTCCAACGTTTTCCATCACCTTACTGGAAGCTCAGTGCCATTTAAGCAGTAGCACTCCCTTCTCCTCCCATTTGCCACTTGTAACCACTAATAAACTTCTCTATGCATTTGCTTATTCTGGATCATATCAAGGGAATCATGAGAAGGGGCTTCAAAATCTTTGTGAAAAAATTCCATTATCTTTCATTTCCATTTTCCCATGAACTTTTTTGATAAACCCTCCATCCATGTTGTAGCATGTATCAAGACTTCATTTTTCCTTCAGCACACTGTCAAATCCCTCATGGACATTGGATTTTACTTTTTGGCTGTTGTGTATAGTGTGCAAACGAACGTTGCTCTACATGTGTTCCTGTTTTCCAGTCTTTTGGGTGTACACCAATGAATAGAATTAGTTTAAAGGAAGTTCTGTCATCTTTGCTGTTGTTTATTTATAGGAATCTTCTGGATCAACACTGGACCCAGCAGCTCCTAAGAGTTCTGGTTTTTCTGCTTCTCTTCACATATGTTGCCTATTTTCACGATTTCAAGCAAAATTACTAAGACTGGAGTCTTCCTTATATTTCAGGGTGTTGAGGCAATCAGGAACTCAGCATAGGCAGTGTAAACAATTTCTGTATCTTATGAAAAACCAGCACCTTTTTTTCTAGTTTTGCCTTTACAGAACAGAGTTCAGGAGGCAGAGAAATCTACATTCAGAACATGGCTTCCAGGGCAAGGTCTTTTTTTGTCAGTAGCCCTAGATGTTCCTTAATATTCCTTAGCTTTCTTATGTCTTATCCCATGGTATGTGTCTATCTATTCTGCTCTTTACATAACTCAGAAATGATTAGGTTTAGAACCCACCTTACTGGGGATGACCTAATATAAAACATAAAATCTTACTCCATATAGACATACATGGAACCACACCTATCCACAAGTATGGGGCCAGAACTTCTTTACTTACCTTGGGACGATATAATCCAACCCCGTAACAGCCCTCCCTTTGTCATACCATTTCAGTTGGTGTGTTGCTGTGTGGCTCTAGCTCCCTAAGGAAAGCCTCAACGGCTAGTATCCTTTCTGAATTCTTATACAGCCAGGCTCCTGGTATAGCTAGCTGTAATTCACAGTTTTAAACCAGTACCCCACAAGACCTACTTTGTTACAATTTCAAAGTTCATATAGTGATTCATAACAAACAAGTAGCTATTTTGCAGCACATCGGACCATTTTAATATATTCTTATGTGAAAGATGTTTTAGTATACTTGAAAGTGTTTTTGAATGTGTGGTAAACGCATACCTTTTTAATTACTGTGTGTTCTATATTTAAATATTTGTATTAAAAATAAACATTTGTATTGAAATTTAGACCTACTTTCATCTTTTTAGATCAAAACTTAAAATAGAAGATATACAAGAAGCCAACAAAGCATTACAGGTGAGTAGAAAATGAAGGAATGTGTGTCTCTGTGAAAGTGCTGACAGAGGGTAATGCTCTAGAGAAACCCAAGTCGTTACTTTAAATCGCAGGGTAGAGAGGTTCACTGCCATCAAGCCAGGAGCCGGTGTAGTGATTACAAGTTGGGCTGCTAACTATAAGGTCAGTAGTTCGAAACCATCAGCCAGCTCCTTGGAAGAAAGACAAGGCTTGTCACCAGGGTGGGAGGGATGGTAAAAGGAGCTGATTGATAGCAAGGGCTCAAATAGAATGTAAATGTTTAGAAAGCAATGATGGCAACATATGTACACATGTGCTTGATACAATTGGTGTATGGATTGTTACAAGAGCTGCAAGCCCTCAATTAAAAAAAAAAAAGTTAGTCTCAGAAAGCCACAGGGACAGCCCTCCCCTGTCCCAGAGTCACTGAGTTGGCATCGACTTGATGGCAGTGAGTCAAGCCAATTTGGACTCACAGCAACCCTCCTAGACAGAGTGCAAGTGCCCCATAAGGATTTCTGAGACTGTAACGTTTTTTTCTTTGTTTTATTGGGGGCTTATATAGCTCTTCTCACAATCCATACATACATCCATTGTGTCAAGCACATTTGTACATGTTGCCATCATTTCAAAATATATTCTTTCCACTTGAGCCCTTGGCACCAGCCTCCCAATCCCCACCCCCTTCCTCTCATGAACCCTTGATAATTTATATATATATATTTTTATGTCTTACACTGATAGCTGTCTCCCTTCACCCACTTTTCTGTTGTCTGTCCCCCAGGGAGGGGGTTATATGTACATCATTGTGATGGTTCCCCCTTTCTTCCCCTACCCCTCCTAGTATCACTACACTAATTATTGGTCCGGAGGGGTTTATCTGCCCTGTATTCCCTGTGTTGCGAACTCTTAGCTGTACCAGGGTACATGCTCTAGTCTAGCCAGATTTGTAAGATAGAACTGGGGTCACGATAGAGGGGGAGGAAGCATTGAAGAACTAGAGGAAAGTTGTTTTGTCAGTGCTACACTGCACCCTGACTGGATCGTCTCTTCCTTGTGACCCTTCTGTAAGGGGATGAGACTATACATCTTTACTGGGAGCAGACAGCCTCATCTTCTTCTCCTGCAGAGTGGCTAGTGGTTTTGAACCACTGATCTCGCAGTTAGCAGATGCTCAACTCACTGTGCCACTAGGGGTCCTCTATATAGAATTAGAAGCCCTAAATGGAGAGCTGGGCTGGTGGAGTTCCAGTTAATTCCCTCCCTGAACCTTTAGAATCACATTATTAAGAATCTTTGACATGATCTTGGAAGTGAATTTGTGTACTTCTCTACTTAGTATGGCAGAGGAAGGCAATTTAGAAAATGTACTTCTGATTCTGTATGGGGTTACTTTGAATGCTGAGTAAGTTAATGTTCTTTAAAAGTGATTGGTACAAATGATGACTAAAAGGTTTTGAATGTGACTGCAAAAATACCTTCTATAACAAAGAGAAAATACAGCCTATTCGTAAGGACTTCCTACATCATAAACTCTTATCAAAGTATTAGATGAAAATAGTTTAAACCTTTAAACAGGACAAAAAAGAACCACAGTCGTGTTAGATTCTTGTTCTTCACCTCCTGCTTCCGTAACTGCCCGAACTACAACCTGAAGGGAGCTCCTTTCCATTGTCTCTTCTAGCGTTCACCCCACTTTTGTTTGTGTTCCTTTCATCTTTTTCAGTTTTATTGGCACGTCATCCACTTGTCATACAATTCAGTCGTTCAGTAATATTTCTTTATACTGTTTGCTCTTGATCCATTTTAGACCATAACTATTGCTTCTCTGACCCTGATGTTTCCTTTCACTGTCCTCTCAGTATAATTATATCTAGGTTGGTTTTTTTTTTAATTACATTTATCGGAGACACTTACAGCTTTGATTACAATCCATACATTCATCCGTGTCAAGCACATTTGAACCTATGTTGCCATCATTTCAAAGCTGGTCTAGTCAGATTTGTAAGGTAGAATTGAAGTCATGATAAGGGATGGGTGGGGAGGAACATTAAAGAACTAGAGGAAAGTTGTCTCATTGGTGCGATACTGTGCCCTGAATGGTTTGTCTCTTCCTTGTGACCCTTCTGTAAGGGGATGTCCAATTGTCTACAGATGGGCTTTGGATCTCCACTCCTTGTCCGCCTCCCCCTCGCCCCACCATTCACATTGGTATAATTTTTGTTCTGGGTCTTTGATGCCTAATAGCTGTAAAGAGATTCTCATGGAATTCATTTACTTTATATTCTTAACTCATATACTGTATGTTATTCTTCTGCTGGGCCAAGTGATTGTTTTCTATGTTGAACTATTTTTTCCCTCTTCTGGAATTAATTGCCAGCCCCTATTCCCCAACTAGTTGTTTTTGAACATCTGAGTTTTCAAACGTCTCTATGAAATGCTTCGAGTTTTTTACATGGTAAAATGTATTGGGTAATTGCTATTCTTTCACCTGGGTGCATGTATGTCCACATGGTCGTTTCTTTTACTGGAAGAAATGCTCTGTCTAGCCAGTATCATGTTTGATTTAGAATGGGGCAGGTTATAAATGTTAGATATCACATTAGCTCCCAGTTTAAGACTATAGTAAATTTAAAGAACTCAAAAACATCTTTTAAAATGTCAGGACTTAGCATAAAGATTTCTTAAATTACTCCGTATTTTGCATATACTTAACTCTATATGTGTACATTTTACATAATGAAAATTTACTTTTAAGTATAAGGGGCTTCTTGGAAAAATAGAATACAATGATCATGAAATTTCTCCCCAAGCTTTTGGAAGCTTCTTTGTATTGTTGGACCAGATCGCTAAGGTTTGTTCCCAAGAACATTTTCGTTAAATGAGGTTGTTTTATCTTTCTTGACAATATTTGACTATGGAAATGTTCAAACATGTTATATAAAGTAAAATGAGCCAGATCTATACTTTATTCAGATTCAATATTGATATGGCTGAACTATTTTATTTCTAATCAACCCCGTATTTCCCCACATTTGGAAGCAAATCCCACACCTCTCTCATCTTGATTTCTGTATGTACCGCTCATATTCTGAGTTCATATTTATATTTCATATATTAACAAATACTTTTCACATGTAATACTTAGTGTTACCAACTTTGGTATTACCATATATACTCGTGTATAAGCCAAGTTTTTCAGTGTATTTTTAATGCAGTTTTTGTGGTAAAATTAGGTGCCTCGGCTGATATTTAAGTCAGCTTAAACTCGAGTATCCATGGTAATAATATTTTTCCTTCCTACTAGGGACTGGTTTGGTTAAAAGATGAAGAAGCAACACATTGTAAACTTTGTGAAAAGGAATTCTCACTTTCCAAGAGAAAGGTAAGGAAGATAGGTAGCCATTCTAAGATTTTTAATACAAAATGGCTATGTTTTTTCTATTTTTTTTTTTAAATCATTTTTTTTTAAGCACCACTGTAGAAACTGTGGGGAGATTTTCTGTAACGCCTGCTCTGACAACGAGCTGCCGTTGCCTTCTTCACCAAAGCCAGTTCGGGTGTGCGATTCCTGCCACGCATTGCTGATTCAGAGATGCTCATCTAACCTGCCATAGACCAGACCTGAAGCCGTACAGAACGGAAGGATGTATGCACGATTAATGTTAGTTATGGACATGTATGCAGAGTATCCAGGCAGCCCTTAAACCTTCAGTCAGTATGGTACCCCAGTTTATTTTCCATATATCCAAACCCTTAGGAACAAAAGGTTTTCAGATTTCCTTCCTTTTTAATTTAAAAAAAGCAAAAGCAAACTTATAATCATGTAGCCCTTAAATCTACTGAAAGGCTAGCTAGCACAGTTAACACCTATTTGCCTTATCTTATAAAGGCCTTCTTAAATTTAAGGTTTCAGATTTATTCTTCCAGACTTGTTAATTTGATACATCATCCTCTTAATGCACTTTAAAATATCACAGCTCTGATTGGAAATGTACAAAACTTTCTAGAATAATATTTTCATTTAACATTTTCATCTCCTTGGTGAGGTTTCAACTATATTTGCCCTCACTTCACCTCCCTCCTTTTTGATTTTGCTTTAGAAAAAAAAATTTTTTTTAAGTCTTTCAAAGTTTTGCCTTTGATGTCTGAAGACTAAGTTTTTTAAAATTTGTATTAAATTTCCATTCTAATAATCATGAGGTTATATAGGGTTGCTGTGAGTTAAATAAATTTCATGGCAGTGGAAATTCATATCAGAGTCTATGTGTGTGGTAAACACTGAACAGCTGTCAGGACTTCAGATGAAGATCAATGCCCTACCATGATGTACTTGGGTTATCTTAAGCATGAAAAGTTTCAGTAAATACTAATTTGACTATACTACTTACAGCATACCAAGAATTTATTGTGTAAAAATTGTTACCCCTGTTATCACTTGAACAGAACAATATCATTAGGGAATCTTACCTTATTAACTATATATTTTGTATTAATTTCAACAGTGCACTTTAATTCCGTGAGCCTTTCAAAATGCCCTTGCAGATTTTCCGTTAAAAGAGCATTCCAGAGAGGGTGCACCCTCTTCCCCCTGCAGATGGAATCACTTTTATTTTGCAGATTCTTTCGAGTATTTGCTTTAAGGTTTAAAATTGTTTAACATACAGTTTTCTAAATTTGCTTAAGTTTGAAACCAGTATTTTACTTGAAGATCTAGTTTTTCTGTAACCCATAAGTTTTCAGTCAGCTTTTGAGGTCAACTTTTCTTGGAATACTGATAGAAATGTCCAGATTTATATTCTTGAACAGTTTTTGTATGCTACTCAGATTTTTGTTGATTAGTGGCATAAATGGGTAATTTCCAATACTTTTAAAAATACTGTGCTTGGCAAATATAAAAAATCATCATTTCTAGTTGTTTATGAATTTTTTGCCCCTGAAAACTTGTGTGCCACATCAACTTGGGCTTTTTTGGGGGGTGGCAACTTCTCTAACAGCACTTCTACTTGCGCTGTTTAGTTTTAGCATATTTAAAAATAGTTTATACTTATTTTTGAACTTTATAACATTCACAATTTGTATTTTGATTGTGATCTTACACTACTTTCTCTTTAAGATTTGCTCCCACATAATACTTCCTCACCCAATGTTATCATGGTGCCAAGGAACTGAGATTGTAATTCTTTTACACTGTAATGTTTTTAACAAAATGTGACATTAAAAAAAAAAATCAAATAAAGATTTGAAAATTTTGCTTGCTTTAGGATTGGAGTTCATCTTTCACGTAACATTTTTGTATCCTTGGAAAATATAAAAGCGCACGGATAATTGGCTGAGTCTAGGCCATCATCATGACCTTCTCCAAAAGCAGAAACAGCCGAGCCACTAAATCAAACATATACAGTAGTCTCCTCTTCTTGTTCTCTATCAGTAACCGACACAGTATTCTAGGACAGACGCCATACTGATATCTCCCACATTGATATTTATTACATTAATAACATTTCTAGCAAAAGTAAGTAACAAGTTCAATAACTAGATTCACATTGACAGGTTTCCATTTTGATCCATTAGCCGAATTTCAAAAAAGCCATATTGATCAATGGGACAAAAGTAAAAAGCACCTTTTCCTTGCTACATATTTAATTAACATAATGGCTCTAAAAACTCCAAGCAGATGTTAGTTAGATGCAAAATCCAACTGCATGAACTGACTCTGAGACTATGATATGGACTTGTCTCTTACATTAAAAAAAAAAAATCATTTATACAATTATTCTAAAATCATGTTTTAACTATTGGGCAGGAAACAAAAAATACATTTGTGAATTACACCCCACAGTAACTATATATTTATATGCTGAATTCTCATGTTAACCTAAGACATCTTGCGACAGCTCATCACTTTTTAGGAACCTTTTTTGATTACGTCAGTCAAGTGCTGAGGGGGAATATATTCTAAAATCTAAGGACAAGATTTAAATTTCAACAATCTCATGCTCCACAGAATGTGTAAGTTCAGATACCTCTTAGATCATTTCAGTGCTGACAAATGACATTTGAAAAAGAAAATAGAATTAGCTGGATTTATACTCCTGAATCCACCTAAATTTATCTTTAGGCTTTATATTTACAGTATTATCCAGTGGAAATTAAAGGAAAAAGATATGCTACTCTTCAAGCACTGTAGTCCAGATGTCTGCTTAAGATTTGCAGCTTATGCAGAGGTGAACCAAGTCCTCTAAAATTACACCATGCCACTACTTGTAGAGCTAATAAAACACATTAACCCAAATCTTAGGAAGGCAGCACATCCTTAGGAGTAACTAGTATATAAAAAGTATCAACATCAGTGGTTTGAATATAAAAATTTATTTAAGTCAAAGTATGCAACAAATAAAACCTACAGAAAACATTTTCTTGTCACAATCTTTTGCTTTACCAAATAATATCTTTGAAAACACATTCCTTCAGTCATTATAAAGTTCTTAAAATACAAAAGAAATGAAATCTGTAAGAAAGTCTAGTAGACCAGATGCTGTTGCCAGGACTTATGTTGTTGGGTTACGACTCAGTACATTCCACGCCATCCACCTCCACTCATGCTGCCTTGCCCATAGTAACCTCCACTGCCACCACCACGGCCTTCAAAAATAAAGCCATGAAAAATAATTTAGTATGGTGTCAGATAATGCAAGCAATGTAATAATAACTATGCCTCCTCCTTCCATATGGGTACTACAAGTTTAACATCCAGAGCAAAAGCCAGCCAGACACTTACCATAACCACCCAAGCCATCAGGAGTGCCGTATCCTCCACTGTAATTGTTCCCCATTCCCATTCTTCCAACAGACCCATATCCACCCTGATTATCTAAAAGGAGAGAAGGGACAAGTAAGTTTGAGAGGAACTGCTACGTGCACAATGCTGCTTGCTTTAATAATGTTACAGAGTTGATTACATACCCATTCCATCTCTGCCATAGCCTCCCATTCCAGAACCTCCCATTCCAGAGCTGCCTCCAGGAGTAGAATTCAAGAAGAGTTCAATGTATCGATGCTCTTTTAAAGAGAAAAATGGGAGAAAGCAATGATGGATATTTACTACTACTTAGCTGCAAGTATATTTGATGATTGTCATTGAAATGTTATACCCTTGAACAAGCAACAAATTGTTTGGGTCTCAGTTTCCACTATAAAAGTTAATTCTTAGAAATATATTCCAGACCCAATCATAGAACTGAACTAGACTAGAACACTTATTTATTTAACAAGTTCCAAATTTCATGGAACGGGAGCTTATATACCATTAATGTCCTTAGGGGCACGGAAATTTAGTCAAACACAAATTAACCTGTTTCTCCCCCTTTCCTAACGTGAGCTCCAATAATCTCAAATGTTAGGCAGAATACTTTCTCTTCAAAATTTCTTTCATAGCGTTATTGGTTAACTCTTCTTTACGAACAGATACATCCAATGATAACTCTCTAGGAAGCATTCAATACCTATCACAGGCTATGTGGTTTTAAGTGTTTGTTAATGGCCTAAAGAGCTCCGGTCCTCTTTTAAAAAAATGCTTACTTCATAAGCGAGTTCACACCTAGGGAGATAGCATGCTAAGGGTACAACTTACGCATGTTATTTTTATCTTTAGACATGGCAGCTACTGCATCTTCATGTGTCACAAACTCTACATCTGCTTCTCCTGTTGCTCTGCCATCAGCTCCAATATCAATATGAACTCGTATCGGGTTTAGTGGTGAGAAGAACTGAATAAAGCAAGGTTTTCTTTTAAATTCAGATTATTGAAAAAAGTAAATAACCACAATCCTTGGTTTTAATACTCTCCTCCCCATTCCTATGCTGCAAGCCCAACTACAGGAATTATAAAGGTTCTGCGAATATAAGCTTACACTTAAGTTAAACTTTCAAAATAAACTAGGTACTCAACTGAATTATGTAGGTCACGAAGATATAGAAATATGTGCACTGACACGGCTATATCATGATTCAGATTAATGGGGCTTGTTAGTTATGTGACCCTTATCCCCTACTGATGGGAATGAAATGATGATGTGGAAAAGTATGGAGCTAAAGTGCACATGTGTGCACGCAAACACAGACACCCCTCTCCCCTACCATGGCAATTTCACACTGAAAAGGAACCCTGCTGGCACAGTAGTTACACATAGGGCTACTAACCACAAGTCCACAGTTCTAAATCACCAGCCATTCCAGGGGAGAAAGACAAGGCTTTCTATTCTTGTAAAGCGTTAGTCTCAAACTCACAGGGACAGTTCTACCTTATCCTGTATGGCCGGTATGAGTGGGAAGTGACTAGAGGTAAGGTTGGTTAGCTAGTATATCCCTGTAAGTCTTGAAAGCAGACACTCAAAACAGGTGTGTACACCAAGGCTCACTGAAGCACTCTTCACAACAAATAAAAGGTGGAAACCACCTAAACACCCATCAACAGATGAATGGATGACAGTGATACACCTACATGTGATACGCACTTGGCAAGAAGCTGAAGTCGTTTTTTTTGTTTTTTGTTTTCTTTTCAATATGTATGAGACCAAGCGACCCTGGGCTGCTACAAGAAACTAGCAGACAGGGATAGATAAGAAACAACTTTACTTTGAGCAGGGGGAACGACAAAATAGCACTTAACAGCTATATTGTAGTCTAAATCCTGCTGGAAGCTGAAGTCTTGAGACATGAGGGGGTTCCCTCAGCCACACTCTAGCACGTCTCAAGACTTCAGCTGAGCACAGTAAGCCAATCACAAAAGGTCAACTAGTGTCTGACACGACATGGTGTATGCAGTTAATTGCCTCCATGAGGAACTGTCTCCTTTGATCCCTCCTTTGCCCTGTGATCAGAAGTAGATGGTCCCCAGCTACCAGTATTGAACATTTTGAGCTAAAGATCCCATAGAAGAATCCTGGTCAAATGGAAGGAAATGTAAAACAGAATTTCAAATTTTCATCTATTCTTGGTGGATGTACTCCTGAACTTATTCCCGTGAGCTATCAAACCATTAAACAGAAATTTCCATGGGATAATCTTAAAGCCCAGGTAATTAAGATTTATCTAAATATTGAACAAATTAGTGTTTCACTGTGTATATTCTCAACAAAATTAAGGGGAAGAGGAATATTCAGCTATTAAAAATGTTAATTTTAAAAAATGTTAATTTAGACACCAGCATAATAAACCAGCAATTATGAGAATACTTACATTAGCAATGTCATTTTCAGTTGCACGAAAAGGCAACCCTCTCATATGCACAAAATGACCACCATGAAAACCTGAACTGGCATCACCAGCTCCACCATAACCATGTCCTCCCATACCTGGAGAATAAAATGTCCAATGATCAACTGCTCAAGCACTTAGGAAAACACTGCAGCAAAACACATCTCTCCCTTCACAGACCTACTTTTTTCTGTCAATCCCAAGAGATCTTAACACTTAGTTGTTTTAAGCATCAAATGGGGAATTATGGAATCATAAGACATGTTAATTCTATGTACTATAGAATGCAAAGTTCCTATACAGTAAAGAAACATACCTGAATTGCCTGTTTTTAAACTAGTCATCAATCTATATTAATATTTACTTGAACATGTCTGTAGTATTTACTTTACCTCTTCCATCTCTCATTCTGTCATCAAAGCCATCATTCCCATAGCCATAATTATTGTAGCCACCATAGTCATCAAAACCTCCATAACCTGTGCGATTCAAGGAGACATACATGAATGCGTGTTCCAGAGATAAATTTTATAATCCATGTCTCAGAACATATTCACGTTACATTTAGACCATAAGTTTGCAACTCAACCGAGTGTACAAGATGAAATCACTGAACATTTGGTTACCAAAAGGCTAAATTCAGACACGCAAATTTAATTTCACACTGATGCCAAACAAAACATTTTCATTTTCAGATCTGAGTAAATTATTGAGGTGTCAATATGTGCATCGATCATGTCCCATAGCTGGCCGTGGGAATTTATATTTTCATGAACAGGTTTTAAAACCTAGTAGGTACTGAAGTTACTGCCATTTCTGTATTTCTTGACAAAGTGTCAGGAACATTAAGAAAATGACAACAGAACCTTTGTTCATTAGATACACATACCACCATCATATCCATCACTTCCTCGTCGCATTCTGTCATACATACTTCCACGCCCAGCTCCATAATAACCCCCTCTTCCTCCTATTGGTCTATCGTATGGTCCCGGTCGCTGTCCCAGCAATCTTCTTGGTGGGTCGTAAAATCCTTTGATTTCACTCCTGCTACTTCTGAAGATCTCAATATACCTATTTAAAAATGGTTTAAGGTACAAGTGTCAGCATAAATGCATTAGAGTAAATAATATTGGGCAAAATGCAGTAAAATTTGTCTACATCTAGTTACATAACCCAATTTAAATTTCCTAAGTACACTATAAGTTAACATTTTACACCTACAAACTTAAATATTTAAGTTTTACATAGACAAATTAGTCATTTGCAAACAATCCATAAAATATAAATATAATTTTAGTTTGTTTCCTTTAGTACATGATAGGTGTTTAAAGAAAATAGGCGATTATACAAAAACATTTATCAACATCCTACAAATGGAAACAATCTAATTTTAATTTACATAAACTATTTAGCATTAACTCCCCACCCAAATCTGTAGTAGTTTGCAAGTTAAATTTAGGTAATTATCAATTATCAAGCTACCCCAGAAAAATGTTATGGTTACCCCCCCATTTAATAAAGTGCCCCACAACCCCCAAAAATAAAAATTTAACACCATCCCAAACTCTCCATCCCCACCTGTGCCCTATTCTTTCCTTGTGTTTCCCCAGAGCATTTTCTGCTATCTCCTTTGAAGCAAACTGCACGAAGGCCTCCCCTGTGCTTCTCCCCTGGTAGTCCATCGTCAATGTTATCCCATTTGGCACGATTTCCAACCCTTTAACCCAAGGACAAATAACCCCATCAAGGGGAACAGTGTTAAAGGCTGAAACATTCCCATCTGAATCAAATATTTATAACAAGTCTAAACAAAACAAAACAAAAAAGCTTAGTTTCCCATCACCCCATAAAACAATCTGAAATTTTCTTTCATTATTGGATTAAATAATTTTCTGCACCCAGTCTTTTAAAATTACATACAACTCTAAAGCCCACCTATATTATGTAAAATAAATAAATATTTAAAAAGGCTTCAAATAAAGTATAACTAAACTCCATATGCTAATTCATGGTTTATCTCATCACATATATTTACTCTCAATTAAGTTTACTGGGCATCAGTTCTTACACATTCTCTAAATTCTGTAGTAAAATATTAACTGGAGCACATTTCATAGTTTAGAACACTAACCAAGACATCATAATTAAAATTAAAAGTTTCGAAAAATAAACAAGCTTACAAAAAAACCGAGTAACAATAGTAACAAAACACATAATTAAACTACTACTAAGCTTTGACTAATACTAGAGGTACCTTGAAAGAACTGAACTATTTCCTCTTTGCTGCAACCAAATGGCAGTCCACGAAGTCGTACTGTCCCATCACTAGCGTCATTTGGACCATTATGTTTCATAACCCAATCCATCTCAATACCGTTTGATCTAAATGCTATAAAAAAATAAACAAGCACATAAAGTAGTCAATCAAAATATACTCTTGCCAGAGGCACTGAAGTGGTATCACAACAGGAAACTTAACAGGGCTGAGTGAGTGGCTTGTATACAATGCCGAGTAAGTTTATACTGTGAGGTAGACAACAGACTGGAAAAGGCAATGAAACCTCCCTGACTGCCCCAAAGAGCATGGCAGTTCTAAGTATTGCCCAATTTCGAGTAAATGTATAAAATTTCCACCATCCGTCCAAAAATCTTCCATAATTTGAGATGTCATCTTAAATGTCAGCTCCAGCCTTTCTTCCCCCCAAACTTCAATCACTATTTTATTGTTTACCAACTATTCACCCAAATTGTTTCAAATTCTAATTCATTCAAAAGTTGGAGTACCAGTTGTCACTCACATTGAGAACGTAGGTTAAAAACAGATTATGTGCTACTTTGGAGGTGGGGAAGCATTACATGATTGAAATTAATCTTGGATTTAAATCTGAACACATTTAAACAGCTTTTGAAAGCAAGGAAAACTCCATCCGTACTTCAACCAATTCTAGTTTAAACATTTCCCAAAAGAAAATTTTAATATAACTGAGACACTAAAGTTGAGTTCTGAAAATTCAGGCTAAAAAAACCTCTTAAGTGCCTGCCTTCAAGTGTTTTTGCAGCCACTGGAGCTAGTAATACAGAAACAAGATTACCACTGCTTTATACTATTTAGTCAAAGAACAGAGATTGCTTATACACACACATGAATATATATACATTCAAAAGGTAAAAGGATACAAATGTCATCCTCCTCCTCCAATATGAACCCATCCACCCAGTTCTCAGAAGCACCCATCTTTCCTTTTAAAATTCCAGAAAGGAAGAGGCTAATTAGAAGTCCTTCAGCTGTAGAAACTTACCACAGCCACACAAATTTCACTATGCAGTAGGAATTCTACTCACCTGGTATTTCAAACATTTCCCTTACCACCACACCTCCCCTGTAAACAAAAATATGTTCACGTGACTCCTTCACGCTTGAGGATTTTTCATGTCAACAGTATGCACCAATACTAAATTTCACTTGACCTAATTATCTGGGCAATGTTTAGGGTGGCCTCTGCAAAGACTAATTACCTTAACCTAGAATTTATAGACCTAAAATCAAATGCCATTCTAAACAAGAGAATAAAAATGAGGAATCAGAATTTTTAACTGGCATTACAGCTAATTCTTATGCACATAAATATCTGAACCTTTGAGAACACACCTCCCCCCGCCCCCCCGCAGTTTGAATCCCTATTCTTTTAGGTACTGGATTTACTTAAGCAAACAATCTCTGAGAGTCCTGTGTTCACAACTGTGAAACACTGACCCATACCTCACCGCTTTCGATAATAATAAAATGCTTGGTCTGTGCCACATGGCAAGCACTCAAAGGTGACTACTGTTTCTGGATCTTATGAGATCCTACAAAACTAATGAGATACACATTAAAATACCTGCACTACCTTAAAAGAATGTTAAGGAAAAATGACTGTTAAAATTATTATCCTTTTCTTTTGTCTCAAAGTCTGAAGTAAAGGGAAGAGATGTTTAAAATAGTCAGATTACAAGGATTAGCTCAACAACTCAATTTACTGCCAGGCGACTCATAGCAACCCTATAGAACTGCCCTGTGGGTGGGTTTCTGAAATAGTAACTAGCGGAGCAGGTTAGCAGTGAAACGTTACATCACCACTATACCACCAGGGCTCCTTGTATTAACTAGAAAGTTAAAACAATGAAAAAAGGCTTTCTACTCCACTCCCTAAAGTTCGCACTTAGAAACCCAGGGGCAATTTCTACCCGGTCCTCTAAAGTTGCTGTGAGTCGAACTTGATTCACTGATTGACTGGCGGGGAGTTTGGTTTGAGAGCAGTCCCCAAACAGGAAAGAAGTGAAATCAAAAGCATTCAGAAATCTACCAATTCTTCGAAGTTTATGTTTCCTAGTTTAAGAACAGAAGAGGGAAAAAGTATAAAGAATCCAAAAGTCCAATTTACTTCCTCATGGAAAAATTATGCAGCCAATCCAATCTATTTTCAAAAGTCTAAGTGTAGTTCTAAATTCTTCCAACTTTTTTTTTCTCAATGTAAAGATACTGTTTTCAGGAACAAGTACGCCCACCCCCCAAAAACCCAGAAATAGTAGTTTTGAATCAGCTTGTACCAATGAAAAAGACCTCTTAATATAAAATAAAACCTTGAAGATTAGAAAACACAAAAGTGTTGAAATGGCCAATTCTGGTGGAGACCATTTCTTTTTTATAGAAGGCTATATCGTAGTGTAGCATCAACACACCTAAAATCCAGCAAAACAATTTAAAACTGAGTAAATCTCAATCAGATCTTTAAGAGTTGAACTATTTTATGGGGAAATTCTCCACACCATGAACGTACACACGAAGGGTGGGGTTGAGGAAAAGCTTAACCTTTCAACGCCTATTAAAAATGGTAATAGTCTAGAGTTCTACTTATACAGGACAGTCCATCTCAACCTTTCTTTGCACATCATACAAAAATATTATGCTTTTAAGTTCAGGCATTATTACCAGTTAAAAACACAAGCAGTTAAAGGATTACAATTTTATAAGACTTTACAAGGGTGGTGGGGGTGGCATTCGTGGGGAGAAAAAATAATGAAGAGCGTTATTTCCCCATTAACTTTTTCCCCCTATTAACTTTTAAAAGCCTCTTGTAGTTTCTCAAACATACCAAATGAAAAGATGTTAATCACAAAAACCACTTATTGTGATCCATTACAAGGAATGTTCAGAGCAGGTTAAGTCTACAGAAAGAGAATCGAGGGGAGGGAAGGTATGAGCATGGGAAATGTCTATGGGTGCCTCTCTTTGGAGTGATGTGATTGGTCTAAAGATTTTAGAGGTTTCACAAACCAGGCAATATACGAATAAATAATACTGAAGTATGTATTTTAAACAAGTGAATTTTTGGTATGTGAATTTTCTCTCAAAAAAGCTGTTAACAATGATCTGCTGTCACAGTGTTCACCAAAACAAATGATTCATAAAAAATAAGGTAATGGGAAAAATTAAGTCGATTTCAGATTTTTTTTAAAAGCAGGGGAAAACCATCCAATTATGAGAAAGCTGTTAGTCCTGTTATATATACACTACTTTAAATATATACAAGGAAACCCTGGCTGGTCTTTTAAAAATCCACTAAAACCTGTTTCAAGATAGATAGGGGGCTAACCAAGGAGGTTTTTTGGCCCCCCTGCCTTCCCCTTAAGCTGCTAGAAGAGTAGTTAACAGTCTTATAGATTCGTATGAAGTATTGGAAGCTTTTATTCTCCGGACTTTCTCAACCCCTTTTCATTGCCTTTAGTGAAAATTACCCATCCGACTCTATTCAGGACCAAGTTACCGCCCCACACCCTATGACTGAGCTTCCGGCTATTTGGTGGGTTTTTTCCTTTGACCAAATATCACTATACTCCTAGTGAACCCTAGTTTATGTTCAAATATTTTCATATTGGCTTTCTTGCCGGGGGTGGGCGATCTCGAAATACAACCCTTGGAAATCTGAACCCTAAACACAGTTCCCTGGGCCCAGATAACCTATTTGGAATATTCCTATTCCACATTCCGGTTTGGTAAATCACCCATTTCCCTGATTCCTAAATGAGTTTGAAATAAGCTTTCGGATCAGCAGGAATACCTCCCCCCGCTGGAAAACGAGTACGTACACTTTCCGCAGTTCCAAGTCTGGAATCTAAGGGCCGGCTAAGTGTCCTTTATTCCTTCCCGGAGACTTCCCGCTTACCTAGCGGCCCTGGGGCCCGGAGAGCTGGGCAGAGCACTCCCTCCCCCCGTGCCGCGGCCGAGCCCGGCTTCCAAACCTTCGCCAGCGGGCGGCGGGATTACAAAGGACGCCATCCTTTGTCCTGAACCTGGGGAGCTGGAGCGCGCCCTCGTCGCCACCGGCGTTCCTGCCCCCCGTGCCAGCCTCTCACCGGGCATCTGCGTCAGAAGCAACTCCCCGTCCCGCCAGCCCAGGTCGCCCAGCCGAGGGGGC